ATAAAGGGGGTGTAGGGGGTCTGACACTACGGGAATTTATGTGTCTCTCGACTATAATATTGGCGAGCTCACTCAGTGGCATACCACAAGCCCTATTCACAGCATTTAATACCCTTCGTAATATGATATAGTCTTTTTTGAGAAGCCCAGGAAAGATTAATGGAGAGCAATAGAGTGGGTACAATAGGTAAAATACAGGAGTTTACAAACTGCAGAAGTAAAGGTTGGTTGATACCTGATTATCTTAACCTTTTAATGTAGAAGGTAAGACGAAACATTTTCTTAGAGATAGATAAAATGTGGGATGACCATGAAAGGTTAGAGGAGAGAACTAATCCAAGGTATTTAATGCTTGACTTGGTTGTAATTTCAGTGTCATCTATGCTACAGGCATCATGGGAACTAACTAGTTCATGTAAGTCACGTCGATGCTTGAAAGTAAAGTCAACTGCCTGACATTTGGAAGGATTTAACATAAGACCATTTTACTTAGATTACTTGCTCATGTCCAACAGAAAGCTATTAAGTTTGGAGCAGTCATACTCGGAAGTGATAGGCAAGGATACAGTCAGACCATCTGCATATTTGACAAAGTTAGATGGATATCACTTCCAGTGGCTAAATCAAAGTGATTTAAACACTGGACAGGTATTTCTCATGTTCGGGAACTGACTCATCAGTAAGTAAGAAACTACAATCACGTGAATTCTGACTGGTCGGCCGACTGCCTGGCTCGCTACATTGAACCATCAATCATGATTCGCAAATTAATCTGCGTTTTGTGTTTTTGCAGTATACGCAGTTCGAGGGAAAATTTCACTAATTTGCCTATATAATCCACCATTAATGTTGACTGCTTTTTTTCAAATGTTTTTGGCTGGATTACCTTCAACATTCAAGTTCAAGCCAATGGCTTCCACGTACGCATATCTCCCCACCTACTTCAATCAAGGCATGTCTGGTTAGTGTCCACAATTTAAGTGTGATGCAGCCGGTCGGGTGTGAGGACAAATACTTGGCGAAGACATTGGTTAGCGGTCGCGCTATGTCGTGAATTGGCAGAAGTTAGAATTCAAGGACCATTGTGTCGGGTCCCAGTAGCTTAATGGTATACGAGCTCGCCTTGTAACCGGAAGGTCCTGGGTTCGAATCTCATGTGGTTGGTGCGTACTGTTGAAGAGTCCCAAACTAGGACGAGGGAAACAGCTGTCCAGTACTCCCAGGATTTCCAATGGTTCTCTCTCTAATGTCAGCTCATGATGAAATCCTGAAACCAATCAAATCCCTACAAACCATCACTTAAAGTGTGATTCATCCATTAACTGCTGCATGAAGATTTTGTTGTGAGTATCTGTATCCTAATGGACTGTAGTCACCATTACCATTAGGAATGTATATTTCAATAAAAGTGTCTAATGGAATAACTGTGCGTCTGTAGCGCAGAGGTAGACTGTTCGCCAGGCACTCAGGTAGCTCGAGGTTAGATTCCTCGCCTCCGACGCACTCCCAAACCTCTATTAGCTAATAATAAGCCCGGCAAAGAGAGGGGGGTAGGGTGGGTATGAGGTTAACCACCACCCCTCTCATCCTGTAAAAATAAACACCACTGCTACCGAAGCTTCAAAGCTCCAGCTTGAAGCCCTGGGAAAGCAAAGGAATGTAGTAATAATGATAATCATAATAATGGAATAACTCCGCAACCCTTAAAATTGAAATATTAAAGAAAGTTAGACGAAGCAGAGCGTAATTGGTGGTTGGCAATAAACACACGAAAACAGCAATTATACTTTGTTCATTTTTTTGTCTCTAATAGTAATAATAATGATATGTATTAGCTAGTACTAGACTTCAGTATATTTATTGTAGGTTGTTTTGTCTGTGTGAAATCCAATAGACGGTATAATTTGCATATCTTGATGTTATAATGTGTCTGTTCTTCATATATATGCATGCATGGATGCCTGCGTGTGTGTGTGTGTTTACATGTTTCTGTAGCTTTGCTGCACAAAAGTATTAAATTATCACTTCACTTGCTGAGTGTTTTATCATTATAGACAAATAGATAAGCAGTCTATGTAATCCTTTATTTTTTGTGTGTTCACCCTTACTACATCTTATTCACGAAGTGTAAATATGTTTTTACGAGTTGATCACCGATTGATATCAGTTACTGAGCTATTGAAAACTAGGACTGGATTAATGGACAGCTGTTTCATCCTAGTTTGTGAGTCACCGACAGCACGCACCCACTGGAGTTCGAACCTGGGTCCTTCCGTCTACAAGTCAAGCTAGGTAGTATACCATTCAGTCACTGGGACCCAATTCAATGGTCAGCCAACCCATGAATTCTAACTTCTGCTAATTCATAATTTAGCGTGACCACTAACCAATATGTCGTCCATCCATCCACACACGTGACATCTCTGGATGGACCTCAACTCGTAAAAACGAAAAACTAACCCTTACAAACCAAAACTATAGAGAATATCATATGCCCAACAACCAAAAATCACTTTATGCTAAATATTGCGCTGAAGGGGGATGTTGTCCAGTAGGGAGATGACGAAAGCTCCGCAACTAAACCAACCAGCTCAAAGAGCACTATTAATCGCAAATTAATTGTGGAATGTTAATTCAGATACTGTAATTCTTCCCTTCAAGATCAGATTATAAACGTTCTCTATCTGAGAACAGTTGTAATGACTAATTTTTTCTACCAATATAACGTACTTGGATATTGAGAATACTACATACTTGTCATTCCGTTCGTCTTGTTTCCTATATTTCTTTACAGAAGATTTTTGGTTACAATAACAGCACTGCAACGCTTAGTTTTCTACTGGAGGTTTCACATTTCAAAGTTTTCAGCTAAAAACTAAGACATTGGTGATATTCATGATCCTTATGTTATTCATACACAGAATTCCATTTAATTCACAAACTTACACAGACAATTGTCGAATAAATTCGAGCTGTAGATTCAAGAATCGTATGATACTGTTGGTATTTGTGATGGTTGGAGGCAATCGTCCACAGGAAGCCTTGCTTCACCTACGTTTCGTGCCAGTTGGCACTCCTCAGCAAGGCCTATCTGCAACCTTGAAGGAACTCATATCCGTCCTTCTGAGATTCGAACCCACGTCACCTACCCAGTGAGTGCTGCGGTCAGGTATGTTACCGCTGAGGAGCTATCTGGGCTCGCGGTTGACCTCTTGTAGGACTGTATTGGGTATTTTTAGTCAGTAACTAGTGTAATGTATCTAGCCCATTCTTTGGTACAAACTGAATTCCATCAGTCACATTTGCAATATTGCTACCATTCTAGATGGCTCGCTAACCATCTAATCACCGAGAATTCACGGTGTATCGTGATGGCGAGCCACCCACTGGCTTATTAGTAGCCACATTGCAAACTTGATCGATGGAATTCAATCTGTACCGAAGATAGGACTAGGCACACACACACACACACATTACACTAATGTCTAATCAGAAATCGAATAATATAACACTTAGATTGTAGTATAAATTCGGTTGATTAGGTATTATGTATGACCGTAAATTGTTATGACAGGCAGGACTCTGACTGAAATTAACCAACAACAGAGCAACATTAAGAAGGTGGAGAACGTAATGGTGAAGTAACTTGTTTGGGATCAGCATAATATTAGCACTGAAGATGTTTTCTCGAAGGACAATGAAACGTCAATTAAAACATGTAGCCCAGAAAACACAACTAAACTAATATCATCCCTATGAGCTACTAGGTTTTTCCATGATTTTTGAGATCTGTCTTTGTTTCTGCATGGCGCCGATTTTGAGTTTTTTCTTCTTTGTTGTGTTAATGTTTAGTTTAATTTTAATTTTTGATTATAGCTTGAAACCACACAATATTTTTGGTACAAGTATGGAATTTTCAGTATATGATATCGGTAGCCCAAATATTGCAGGCCGACCATAGATATCAGGTGTGCATCGGTAGGGGATCGAACTCCAGACCATGTGCATGGTCGACGAGAGTCCTAATCACTGTGCTGCGGACGCACAGGAGAATGCCGCTGCCAGGAGGCTGCGAGAGTTGAGAGGTGCATGCGATTTTTTCATTTGATCTGCTGCGACTTTAACAAACTGTTCGAGTCTATTTATCTTTATTTGAATTGTATTATTATTACTATTAGTTTATTCCTTTACGTTCCCAGTGGAACATAGGGCTTCAATCTAAATTTGTGAAGTTTCGGTAGCAGTAGTATTTATTTTCACGGGATGGGGTTACTAGCCTCATGTCCAACCTTCTCCCTTTACTAGTCATATTACTGGCTTAGAGAGGTAAAAGAGTGCGTTGCTGGCTGGGAATCGAACCCCTGACCACCAGCGTGGTTGACAAGCATCATGTTTGTTTACTGTGTGTAAAAGAGTTTTACACAGACTTTGAAGCTAAACCCCATTAACAAAATTTTCCTGCATTCTCACTTACATAGAACCCCAGTGGATGGGTACCTCATCTTGAACATATAACATCTGGTATCAATGCACTATCTAGAATATGAACCCCTCATGCTAGAGATTTGCTTAACACTCCTCGGAAAGATTGATATCATCACGATTTCCTACTGTTAGGCTTAAACGTCTCTCAAGAGTCACTTCTCAGAAGCCTCGAAGTTGCGGGTAATGACAGCTCTCACAGGGCATCCCACACCGCGGGATGTATATGACCAATCTGTTATTGAATGGAAATTGCTAAAGGAGTATGATATAACTACCTCCAATGGGGGGGGGATGACGTTACTCATCGCGGTGACCGATGGCAACGCACGTAGGATTGTAACTATTCTCCACCCGAATACACGAATGCTTCACTTTCGTAGGCAACCGATCATATACACCCCTATATGAATACATCAATATATATAAAAGTGATTGTTCATTGTATATAATCTAAACTGAATGTTGTGTCAACTACTACTAATCTCTTGTTTCTTCCTTAAATTGTTCTATTCTAGGCAACAACAATTCAACGAAACAATCGAAATTTGGCGGGAACAATAATAGTAGTAGTAGTAGTAGTGGTAAAAATATACGGTCAGATCAGTCGATGCTAAATTCACCTACAAATTCACCGCATTCACGTGTCTCAATTAACGATGATAACAATAATACCAATAATAATAATAATAACAATATGGATATTTCAGATAATGATGAAGTGATTGTTACCGATGAATATGATTTATCCAATCAGAAAGCGACTACTACAATGATGCCGATGACAACGACAATGACAACGGCCACAGCCACAGCGGCAGTTGCAGCTGCAGCAGCACTACTCAGCGGTAGTAGTAGTAGTAGTAATAATAATAATAACACTACAAATAATAATAATAATCATAATTCCAATCATCTTGTTAAAATTAATAATTTCACATTGAATCCAATTGAAGTAGCCAATGCAGCTAAGGTGGCGCTGTTAATGGCGCATCCATTAGAAGAACCAAAACGTGTTGCTTGTGCTGTTTGTCAAAAACGCTTTAAAAATCAATCTGCTTTAAATGGACATATGCGTTTACACGGAGGTTATGGTCCAGCTGGTTTAAGCGGTGCATTGTCAACAGCGACGACGCAGACGCAGACGCCGACGACAACAACAACAACGACAACATGTAGCAATGGGAGTAACAGCAGTTCAGCGGCAGTTGTATCATCACAATCCAATCTATTTTTTAATAGTAGTAGTAGTAGTAGTAGTAGTAAAAGTAGTAAATGTAGGATCACAGATCCTGATTCACACCCAATAACCTGTGATAATGGTAACACTCTTAATACATCAACTAGTACTGCTAGTACAACGAATACTAATAATAATCACAACACCGCTTCGAACACGTTGAAAGCATTCAAGTTACAGTCAAATACACCTATGGTAAGTATATATATATATTTGTCATTCTAATTATTTTACAATTGAACAGACTTATTGACTAACTGACTGACTGGTTTCAGCATAGAACTTTGCATCAAAGTACAGCTGTTCGGGTCGCTACACTTCACTTCTCATACAAAACAGGAGGCGAAAGTAAAAAGATATGCAAAATAGAGACAGTAAACAGAGAGATATGTGGCAAAAAGAAATAGTAATATCGAAGAATCACATAGTTTTATTGGGTGTTATAAGTCACAAGAAGTGGAGTGGAGTGCCTCTGCACCAGCCATTGATAATGGGGATTTTGAGCCATATCACCAATTTACATATTAATATATGTGTAAAACACTTGATCATTGTGGTAGTAAGAATTCTTAACAAGGTAGGCAGGAATAAAAGTGGCTGGAATTCAAACCACTCACAGACTCAGTTAGAAATATGCTTTGTCGGCTAGAGGATCAATCCTGACACTGGAGCCTTTAAAACAAAACAAATCAGTTTATCTAATACCCTGCCTGTGATGATTGTCAGGTCGAATACATAGGTCAAAGTAATAGAACAGGGGAAGTCAGTCAGACTAGTCGAGTATAAAAACCTAGCAGCAAAATCTAGATTAGTTGACCCGAATAAGATAAAAAATCTAGAGAAAAAAATTTCAGCGATAGCACTCACTACATACAATTACACACAACCATATAATAGGCTGGATGGGATAGGATGACAGTTTTAAAATCTAATGCTGTGGCAGGGTGGAGTGAGGGAGAGATTGATAACAGAAGCTTTGTTTATCGAATCAACCAACTGCAAATACATGTAATAGGAATGATTCAACACCTGTCCAGCTGGATAGCTGGAAAATTCTCCTTGCCAAGGACGATAAATAGGAGAGGACAAAGAAAACTACAAAACTCAAGTTTCGAAGTCGTGTGATTATAAACAGGCTCCAGCCTTCATCCATTTTCACTATCACGAATACCCCCAACCAGGCAGTCGACACCTTCCTACGTGGCTGGTTGGCTTTAACTAATTGTTGTGGATTGTGCTGACTGATGAAGTCATGTTTTTGTTTGACCGCCACTGGCTAGCTCTTTTCCAACCAACGTGAAATTGTTCGTCGACGGAACGACTTAATAGAGTTTTAGACAGCTTTTTCTTCTTTTAAAATGACTATCGATGGAAGATAGGATGAAACAGCTGTCCAGTTCTCCCAGGTTTTCCAGTGGTTCTCTAACCAATGTCAGCTCATGATGAAATCCAAAAACATTAACGGTGTTTTTAAATAACATCGAATCAATAATAATAATAATAATACCAATAGATTACAGTTCAATATCATCAACATAACAATAAACTGAATATCAGAAAAATTAGGAAAGATAATATTACAAATTCATAAATTTATAGTCTCTACTGAAGGCCGGCCAGGGTAGTGTGGTAGTGGCTGGACTTGCTTCTTTCGACCACAGAGTACTGGTTGTTTGAGGCGAATTGCAACAGCCTCTTTTACTTTACTTTACTTCGGCTGTCTCCTACGGGAGGATGAGCCGGCTTCATGAACCATGAAGTTTCATGGGAATTGGGTACGAGTGATGTCCCCAGCATCGCTCGGCCTTTGTTTGAGAGTGCAGCTCTAGCCTTTACACAACCAAGTGTGACCTACAAGGCAGTAGGAATGGAGTAGGGAGTCCACTAGTCCACTATCCATTGACAGCCGGTGACCGGAGTTCGGTTCATTCGCCTTTTTGAATGGGGCCAGTCATCTAGGGGATCCAATAAGCCCTTTGTCCATACGTCTGCCGGTGAGCTCCGGTGAGCTTCATACGCCAGTCGTTGGAGGTTTGGAATCAGGGTTTAGCCATCTCCCCTAGACTGTCATCCAATGGCCAGTCAACCCGGTGAAGAGCGCCGGGCATCCGCTTTTGCCCTCTCACTTCGGTGAAAAACACCTCCGCCACGTGAAGGCAGTGATTAGGACTTCTTCAGGAGAGGCTATGTAAGACGCCCGGTCATATGGGAGCATTTCAAGAGGTGTACGGAGGGGTGGCCAGCCCGCAGCGCAAGACACCCACCCCCGACCATCCTGAGGCTTTGGAAACAGCCTCTTTTGTTTGTAGCATGCGGTTCTTCGATGTTTTCGGCAATTTATTAGGCACCTGGTAGGTGACAGAGGAGGATTCGTCAATGCTGGCTACCTTTGTGGCCGATTCAGACCAGACGGTCCAATATTGAATTGTTGATGTTTTTACTACACCTTTACTAAGCCATAGTGGGAGATGTTCTCGAGCGAGCACGAAAAATCAAGTTACTAGAGCAACAACGGCCGATATAACTCGCTCCATTAGCGCAGTTGAATTGCTAGATACAATTAGAAGTGGCTAGTCTAGGTACTTCATGTTTCACTTAGAGGAATCACCAATGGTCGTGTAGAAAACGTGACTTGTAGCTTACCAGCTTTCAAGTTCTTTGAACTGATTTTCTTAATTTCTTCGTAATTATTTCACTTGGTATATATCGGCCTTTGAATTATAGTCGTATATAAAGAGGCTTCTTGTTAGCAGATCGTGAGTTGTCTTTTTTCGCTTTCTTTGTCATGTGTTTCTTGATAAATTTGTCGGGATAGCTGTTTTCAATCAAGGTATCATATACAATGCTCAATTCATTTTCAATTGCTTCTTCTGAGCATGTAGCTCTCACCCCTGTAGCTGAAGGTCTTTACTAAATTTTATTTGTACTGGAGAGGAACGAAGCTGTGAAAATTTGTATATTATCCTGTCCATGTACTTTTCCTATGCAAATTTCTTTGTATGCTACCATCTGGTTTTATTATTATTGTTATTAATGAACAACATTCGGATTTGCAGCACCTGTGTCAGGTTAGTTCGTCTACGTAGGTCAGAAACTTGCTCTATGAGTCATAAAAAGCATCTTCAACTGCCTACAGGATTAAGTCCATGAGTACATCTTTGATAAAATCCAACAGATATGGGTACAGTGAGCATCTCTGATGAACAGCATTGGTCGTCATCACTTCAGATGACAACTCTCGGTAGTCTTTCACGCGGCTGCATGAGTTCGATCAGTGCGAAGTATTTCGTCTGCATTCCCTTCACAACGAAAAACACAGTTTTTGTTCAGCAAAGAAATATCTCTTTTGAACGAATTTCATTTCCAAGCTGCACGTGTATGCGTTTTCACCTCCTATGTAGATCACTTCCGTCCAGATGGGAACATAAAGTCTCTTCCATAGGCAGCTAGTATGAGTGAAGATCATCGTGTCGTGAAGTTACCTGTTATTCCTTTGCACATCAATATACTTGCTGATCAAAGTGACATTTCCATGGCTCATTTGTGAAGGCTTCTTGTCACTCTGATCTAAATTTATTGTATTAACCTCATTAATTCCATACAAATCGTATTGGACGAATGCTAACACCAGACAACTCTTTAGGTGTATTAGAGGAACAGGTGGTAAAAGGCAAATGATAAGTGGAACAATCTCGGAGAAAAATGTCCCCATAATTAGCTCCCATGATAGACGACTGGAACGCTGGAAAGAACAATTGGCGATGCTGTTTAATTGGACTACATCCACGCTCAACTTATCGAATATCGAACACCTCCTTGAATGGAATATAGACACAGATCCTCCGTCCCTAACTGGGGATACTAAGGCTATCACTAATCTGAGACTAGGCAAAGCAGTAGGACCTGATGGAATAACTCCAGAGGTATTTAAGTACGGTGGAGACAGTTTACTGTCTGGATTAACTGAGGTACTAGGCAGCGTCTGGGAATCAGAGGAAGTCGTTTCGAGTTGGTGTAAGTCATTGATTATACCGATGTACAAGAAGGGAGACAAGTCTTCCTGTGATAATCACAGGGGATTTTTATTCTTATTATTGTTCATTTTTTATTACAGCTTGATTCCACACCGTATTTTTGGTACATGTATGGAATTTTCGGCATGTGATATCGGTATCCTAAATTTTGCAGGCCGACCATAGATATCAGGTGTGTGTCGGCAGGGGATCGAATCCCTGACCATGTGCATAGTCGGCGGCAGTCGTAACCACTGTGCCAGGACTGGACTACACTGACTCCTAGTTTAGAAATAGACAGTGAAGTGGTAGAGCACGTTGACCGCTTCACTTATTTGGGAAGTTGCATCACCCGGTTCCAACGGGTTGATCTCTGAAGAAATCACAGCACGGATACAGAGGGTTAGTTTCGCATATGCCAGTTTACGCCGTCTGTTGCGTAGTCGTGATATCTAGCCGGTTATCGACCAAAAGGCGGGTGTACTGCTCAGCAGTCCTGAGGTGGTTAGGATATGTATTACGCATGCATGCCTAGTCATCTCCTTCCTCGACAACAAGCAATGTTAGCTGACATAGGGTCAGGCTGGAAAAGAGCTAGCTAGTCACGGTCAAACCAAAACATGGTACCATTCAATGAAATCCACAACAGTTAGTTTACACCAGCCACGCAAGGTGGTGTAGACTTCCTGACTGGTTGAGGTCCTCAGGACGGTAAAACCAATGGTTGGAAACAATTGGTGATATGGCTCAAAGTGATCGTTCTCAATGGCTGGCGGAGATGCATCCACTCCGTGTGACTTGTGATTTCCAATGAAACTATATTGTTCTTCGTTATTACTATTCCTCTGTCTCACACCTCTGTTTACTGTCTCTATTATGCATTTCTTCTTCTATTTTCTTCTATTTCTTTGTGTGATACAAGAAGGGAGTGTGGCGACTTGAACTGGTGCACATCGGTGCAAAGTTCTATGTCGAAAACAGACAGACAGATTACTATTACTATTATTATTATTATAACAGTTATTGTTTTTATTATTATTATCTTTTGAAGGTTTTTCAAACCAGTTTTGAATCAATCTCATCATCGGGTAATTCTTCTTCTCCACCTTGTCATCCTGTTGTTACTACCGCTACTGGAGGCGGTGGTTTAGCACTTTCTGTAAGTTTATCAAAAGTACCACCATCAACAACAACAACAACATCAAGGAGTTATAACAGCGATAGTTTGTCTAATCCCATATTTAACCCAATTCATTCCACTAGTCAAAGACAGCGAAATACCTGGTCATATTCAACTGGTAATAAACAGGCTTTAGATCCATTGTTTAACAATACAGCATTACAGCATCATAATAATAGTAGTGATGGCAACAACAACAACAGCAGTCATAACATTGACGATGAGGATGGTGATGCTAATGACGATGCAATAAATCGGCAACATAAATCACAATTTTCATTTACAAATCATCAAATCAATAATTTATCCAATGAAACTCAACAACCTCTGCCTTCAATACATGATAGTTGGTTATCACAGCATTTTAATTCATCTATGCAATCGATTCATTCTACTTTGAATCCTCCTACTCATCACCAACATCAACACCAACAACAACAACAGCCACAAGTACAACACAGTCATATTAATTTATCCCAATTTGATGATATTGTTGATATTACTATGAAAAAGGATGATAATAATAATCATAATGATAGTAATATGAGTAAACATAATTATAACAGTCTACCATCTCGACATCATACTTTATTAGATGAATCTATGCTGAAATACAATTCGTGTTTTTCGTCTTTATATTCATCTACAACAATGACGATAAATAATAATGCTATGTCGGTTGCCTCGTCTACACCAACATCGTCTGACAGTAATAATAATAATACACTGACCAGTTCTGCTGCTGCTGCTGCCGCCGCCGCCGCTACTAATACTGCCACTACTTCTGCGACAACATCATCTCATTGTGATCAATATCCTACAGTGGTTACACCGCCACCAACATCATCCGCATCATTATCATTATCATCAATCTTATTAGATAAACAGGATATGCCATCATTAAGAAATACTAGTTTAGCATCGATTCAATGTCTATCCAATCGATTTATTGATTCACAAAAATCAGAGCTACTCGGTGCAATGGATAATGATAATCATGATGATTGGTGGCATTCAGAGGTGGTAGTGAATTCTACTTGTCCAATGAATACAAACTCGCTTGACGATATAATGATGTCATCAAACAATAATAGTAATAATAATAATAATAATAAGATAATGACAAATTTTCAATTGATAAATCCTTCTGATCATCAGAAAAATATGCTGTCGATTCCTCCAAATATTCACCTGGTAAGTTGAAGTTATATTTGGTAGCTGTTGGTAGTACTGTTGTTGTTGTTGTTGTTGTTGGCGGTTCTTTTTGTGCCAATAGGATGACGCATACTGAAACGTGACTTTATTTTCTGAGGTTCTAAGGTTAGTTTTGTTTTTAATTGGGGTCGCGCTAGATCACGAATTGTGTTAGAAGTTAGAATTTATACACTGGCCATTGAATTGAGTCCCAGTGGTTGTTGAATAGTATACGAGCTTGTCTTATAACCGGAAGATCCTGGGTTGAAATTCCAGTGGGTGAGTACTTCTGATGATTCTCAAACTAGGATAAAACATCTGTCCAGTATTCCGTGTGGCTGGTTTTCAATGGTTCTCTAACTAATATCAATCCGTAAATAACATTGTCTTACTTTTCCGATTCTGGCTTTGATATCCTCGTCAGTTCCGCCTGTAGTTGAGACGATGCTTCCCATGTAGGTGAAGGAGGCTGTTTCTTTCAGGTTCCTCCCATTTATTCTGGCTGATTGTTGTCTGTTGTTGATGTATATATATATATATATATATATATATATATATATATATATATAATAGGATCATCAATATCCCTAATAGTATTGGGTGAGGTGATGAAGATTCCTAGCCAACATCAACAACAACAGACAACAATCAGCCAGAATAAATGGGAGGAACCTGAAAGAAACAGCCTCCTTCACCTACCTGGGAAGCATCGTTTCAACTACAGGCGGACGGAACTGACGAGGATATCAAAGCCAGAATCAATGGGAAAAGCAAGACAACCTTTCATTACTCTCAAGTCTGTGTGGAGGTCAACAGCACTACTCAGCATCAAAAATATCCGGATTTTCAACTCAAATGTGAAGTCAGTCAGTGCTACTCACTATATGGATCGGAGACTTGGCGCCATGTCATAAAGAGCACTTCAAAGAAACCACAAACCTTCATCAACAGCTGTCTTCGCTCAATACTACTCAAGATCAGATGGCCGGCCAAAAAAGATCAGCAACAAGGATCTCTGGCAATGAGCGAACTAACCCAGCAGGAACCGATTGTGCAACAAATAAGCAGGAAGAAATGGAGGTATGGATTGGCTGGCCATACTCTGAGGAAACATACCGTCAAGTGACATCACTAGACAAGCCATTACTCGAGTGGAACCAGGCCGAAAGGGAAGCGGCGAGTTGGTCGTCAGTGTGAGGGGGTGAATTGGAAGAGGTCATGTGAAGAGGAGATGAAAGCATGTGGGCAGACTTGGAGCGGAGTGAAAAAATTGTCAGAAACAGAAGGCAATGGAGGTGGGCAGCTGAAGCCCTATGTTCCTCCAGGAATTAAAGGATACAATAATAATAATAATAATAATAATATAATAATAATAATAATAACAATAATAATAATAAAGTCTTATTTATAATGCTGACAGTCATTTTATGTTGTGGCCACATGTCTTCTAGTAATTATTATTATTATTAATACAACTCTTGGTAATGCATCAATGTCAATAACGCATACATATCCCCTTCATTATACAAATGTGTGCGTCGGTGGCACAGTGGTTAGGACTCTCGCCGACCATGCACATGGTCCGAGGTTCGATCCCCTGCCTACGCACACCTGATATCTATGGTTGGCCTGCAAAATTTCGGCTACCGATATCCATGCTGAAAATGCTGTACTCGTACCAAAAATACAGTGTGGAATCAAGCTGTAATCAAAAAGAACACAAAAAAATTGCATCTCTATTCAATGTCTATTATTAAATATTTTAGTTGTGTTTGTGTACACTTCAGTCTTGATTTCCCCTCTTATGTCTTTCTCAATTATATATGTAGCGTTTATGTATGTATTGACCATACTTTGACTGTTATCTTTCAGTCATAGGTATTTTCTACTTTTCAGTTTATCCTGATCTTGAGTTAAGACGTCAATACATGTGGAAAGAAAGTAGGGCTTCATCATCAGCTGACGTTGGTTAAAGAACCATTGAATACTAGCCAACTATTTCGTCAGCCTAGTTTCGAACTCTTCAGCAGTACTTAGGCACCATAAGAGTTTAGAACCCCAGGACATTTCGGTTTCATGGCCAGCGAGCTAACTCGTAGACCATTCAGCAGTCATTGGGACCAGACTCGATCCAATGACCAACGCCATGAATTCTAACTTTTACAGATTCACAATGTTTGCTGCGACTGGCATCACCAGCCAATTTCATCGGTGGTGAATATTTCTCCCTTAACACCCGACCTGCTGTGTACCCCACTGGTTACAACTTCTCACTAGAATCCAAGTAACTATCGTCCTCAACAGGACCAGTCACTAGTGAGCAGTATTAGATTGGCTTTTACTTAACGACCACTGACATTTCCATTCATTTTAGTCCAGAACCACATCTGCTGTATGTGTGTTTGTGTGACAGCTAATGGATACTACTACCTGATGGTATGGCTACCAAAACCCCAGTAATTGGAAAGCGATGCAAACCTCCCTGATTCAGTGTGGCGGCTGCTAATCAAGAATTTCCGTCTATCTATCTGTCTGTCTATTTTCGACATAGAACTTTGCACCAATGTGCAACAGTTCAAGTTGCCACACTCCGTCCTTGTAGCACAGAAAGCAAAAGAAGAAAGTAGATGAAATGCATAATAGAGACAGTAGACAGTGATATGAGACAAAAAGAATAGTAATAACTAAGAACAATATAGTTTCACTGGAAATCATAAGTCACAAGGAGTGGATGCATCTCCGCTAGCCGTTGAGAACGAGGATTTTGAACCATATCACCAATTGTTTCCAGCCTTGATTGGTTTTTCCGTCCTGAGGACCCTGACCAGCCAGTCAGGAAGTCTACACCTTCCTACGTGACTGGCTGGCTTGAACTAACTGTTGTAGATTTCATTGACTGATGAAGCCATGTTTTGATTTGACCACTGCTAGCTCTTTTCCAGCCTGACCCTATGTCAATCAGCTAACATTGCTTGTTGTCGAGTAAGGTGATGTCTAGGCATGCATGCGTAACACATGTCCTAACCATCTCAGCCGATGTAGCTTCACAGCTTCGTTGATTGATTTCCCCTCCTTACCTAGCACTCGACCGAAGCCTTACCTCAATATTCTTCACCCTATACACCTACCACTTCACACGGGAGGCAGAGCACAGGCACCTTTCGTCAAAGACAGCTAGCCAGCCAGCCTTTTCATGTGTTCCACTCTGAATGGCCAGACTGGAATTTCGGCCCAATGGCGCGAGCCACTCTCAGCATAATTCCATATTTCCGCCTAGTTAGTTAGTTAGCATCTAGTCTTCTATAGCCCTGTGTGCATAACAGGCTATTGAAATAATAATGCCTAATCAAACATTTGGACAGTCAGGCAGTCAAGTAGATTCATCAGTTTATACGTAATAAATAAACGTACCTGACCAATAGTGTATATATTTGAATAACAATGAATGTGGAGGTGTTTGAGGTGCAAGTAGCAGCATGTGATTGATTATTACATATCTTTTCCTTCTATTTCTACTTCGATTAATTTCTAAAACATATATATATATATATATATATATATATATAATATAGACGCGTAGGTTGGTATAAAAATGTATGAAATAGTAGACTGTAGGAAGTTCATTATAGTCATAAGGCGGTTTTTCGTTTGTGCGTTGATATGTATGCATACATGTATGTATATATGCTTGTGTGTATGTATGCATTGATTTTTATCGCCATTCTTACCTGCATGTCTTACGCATGCTTCAATTGTGAGTGAGTCGAGTTGATTATACGAGTTGATTTTCCAGCTTTTCTATCTATAGAACTGAGAAGTGAATTCATCTATTCAGACTTGAAATGACATCATTTTGATGTCACTAACAAAACCGATGAGTCTACATTTTTATTAAAGTATGCCGTTTCATACTATACATACATACAAAGTTAAGCGCTGGCATAGGTGTTCGACAGACAAACTGACACTTCTTACTTTTGTCTTCCGATGATATTTAGACGAAAAAATTGTGAAATTGGGACTGTCGAGCTACTACTCTATTTTAGTCTGTGTTACAATTGTACCTCAAACTGCCATTATTTAGAAAAAATTACTTACAGTTAATATATGTCATCAAATTAGACATCAGGTTGAAGGTAAAACAGTAACTCATTGAAGAAGACATTGAGAAGTGATCTCACTATGTCAAAAAATTGGCAGAAGTTGGAATTCATCCGCTAGCCCACTGGATAGGATCCCAGTGTCTTGCTGAATGCTCTACGGGATCGCTAGCCTTGTAATCAGAAAGTCCTACATTCGAACCTCCTGTTGTGTGAGTGAGTACTGCAGAAGAGTCCCAAACAAGGCTGGCGAAACAGCTGTCCAGTACTCCCTGTGGCTGGTTTTTGCAATGGTTCTCTAATTGATGTCAGCTCATGATGAAATCCTCCGACCAATCAACCAAAACTCCCTAAAACACCAACACTTAAAAATATGTCGACTCAAATCATAGCAAACACTAGCGGAATACAATAATATTTGGTGAAATTTAATTTTTCTTACGTATGTAACACACAAGTCAGAGAGAGTAAAAGCGTGTTCTACTAAATAAATTCAGTAAGCTCTGTCTACATTTCCTACTATACACTACAGAGTAGTGTAGTGAGCTTGTAACACCAGGGGACAAGGTCCAGGCAACAGATCGTTAATTAAGGAAATCAACACATATTTATATATTTTCATGTGCATTATGATAGATTATTGTTAGCAGAAAAAACGGGTCTTCTGATTGGTCGTTTCTCACAGAAAGTTAACCTTGCATCTCTTTGTGGCTGTTTCTTGAATGTCAGATCATCTATATGCTAACTGTATCCGTCCACGCAAAATGTGCTCTGGTTGGTTGTTGAATCAGTCTTCTTTTTTTTAAATCGAATTTTTGATTTTTCCGTCGATGGATTGAACCGAAGTGCTTGGTCTCAGGTTGGCATGTCCGTCGGCTACTTGTGCAGATGCTTTGACGA